AATGTATTAAAACCAAAAGTGGACATCATGATAGTACGAGGTATACGTGTAGCATTATACATTGCAAATGAACGTTGTCAGCCTAGGGAGTTGATTTTATTAATGCATTTATTAATGATACTTGCACTTACCTATTTCATTACAATTTAATGATTCACCTCAGCACTTTTACTTTTCTAAAACAGCTTTCAATCCCTTGTAAACGTTGTACTTACCTCAATATTGGTTGGTTATCGTATGCCGACAACCACGGGATGAAAACGAAACGAAGTCGATTTTCCCGCTCAACCTGGAGGACAATTGTACAATTCAATAACTATACAGCCTAGTTCAGACAATGTGTATTTATATATATCAAATATTTAACTGTTGAAACATTATTAACTTGTAGACAATCTACGATTTGATATTATATCATACTTGATCGTGCCTGTAAAAATGGCATGCATTTTCATGTAAATTTATATGTTTATATGAGAATATACATTATTATTATTATTATTATTATTATTATCGAGTCTTCATGAAGTGTGCAAACTCCTTACTGAATAACGACGAAGTACAGTTTGTGATAGAGTGTGGGATATAGAATTACCACCACTGTATCAGGGCCCAAGGAAACCTGGGAAAAGGGAGGAGATAAAACAGGAGGAAAACGCATGAGGGTTACAGAAGTGGCTAACACTTTATAACTTTGTTAGAAACAAAATTTGATGATATACAATGTAAGAACATTCATGGTAACTGCAGCGTTTTCACACCGAATAGCTGGGTTTTTCTCAAGGAATATAATAATAATGATGTATATTTTCATATAAACATATAAATTTACATTATCATGATAGCGCTAACAAATAGCTGATATGTATAGTACTAATGAATAGGCATCAACCTTTAACCATAGAAAATTTGAAAATATCACAAAAACTTTAAACCTATAGGTTAAAGTTCATGATTCGTGTGGAACAATAAATGTATTATACAGAAGATGCCTATTCGAAACAGTCAGCTAATACCATTTACTTACATCCAAGGGAGATTTCATGCTCAAGCGTTGAAATTCATGACCTTATCTATCTTTTTATGGAAGTCATTCAGCCTTGGGAGCTGTAGTAAAAGACATTGTCATCACACACAGATGGGCAGTTGACGTATATCCATACCATAAGACCAGCTTATCAGCTGTTTCCACCCTCTTACCATGCGTGTCTTATACTTTTTCAAACTTGAATGCTACAACAGAGTGAGTAATACTACTGCTACCATGGAATGCTCAACCAATCACACCATTTTCGACGCTCCATCACCGCACACTGATTTCTGGATGTGCAGGCTGCCGAACAGTTTTCCAGGGGAAAATGTTTTTTATTGGTTTATGTGTCTACCTGCTGGGGGAAAGTTTACTGTCTCTAAAAGGACCGTCCGAGAAGTGAATGTATTGGTAATTATACATTTTCATATCATCGAATTTACATGAAGCGAATGCCATCTTGCAGGCACGCTCTAAGGCCGTACAATAATATTAAATCAAACACCGATGACATTTTTGTTTCAACGCTTTATATAAGAAAATCGCAAAGTAACGCTATAATCTCCCCGCACACCGCTGATATATTCTTCTCAATTTATAAAATGTCTCAATGAACATTAGGCTACTGAACAATTATTGCCGATTATGGATAAGCCTTTGTCTTCCGGATATCGAGGTATATCACCGAAATTATATTTTGGATATACTGTAAGGAAAACTCCCTAAGCTACAACTCGTAATCTTCATTTCAAAATACTAAGTTGTCCGAAATAGGGTGGTGTTAAAACCAGTATATTGGAAGTTACTGCGATATTTATTGTTCTGATTAACAAAATGTACCACAGCACTATAGTACCAATCTTCGCTTAGGGGGATATCAGGCGTTCATACACTGAAGGCAAAATAGCCGAACATACAACGGATCACAATTAACAAAAGTATTCACTAAAAAAATAAATGCACAGCGGTGAGATGAGTCACAAATGGTCTAATTAACACATATAAATGTAAAATGGCATATGTTGTGCAACTGTGATATTTGGAAGTGAAGTGATGGACGAAACCTAAGGCTTTTCCTTCCTTTACAAATTAAGAGTAACCCAGGACAAAATGAAACTGCAGAGTTCTTCATTTTGTTGCTTAAAAATATTGCAACTAACTGGATAAGAGTCTTTCCGTAGTCAGTAGTTCCCAGCTTGTAACTTTTGTTGGCCTACTGCTTGTTTAAAAGAACTCTGTTGCGCCAGCAGTAGTTCTGTATTCCCTGTAGTTACTTGACATGATATCCGCGTAAATACTCAAGTTCTTTTTCACTCAAGTCTCGCTTGAAATCATTTAAATCTGTGTACAATAATTTCCCGACGAGTTAATAATAATATATTCTCATTTTGTGCATGAGGGACGCCATTTTACAGGCATCATCAATATGATAAATTACATATACGATTAATAAGGATATTTGGGTAAATACTTTCTGAGTGCTAGTATACCTTAAGCCACATAGCTAAAAAGATACTGTCATAACTCTGCACTCCATTAATGTTCCCGAAGCAAGTCTCCCTGAATTGTTCTGAGAACTGCAAGCTACTAAAAACTGGCCCCTATATCTCTATGGAATTTCATGAACTAAATCGATAACTAAATAAACGCCATTACGCCGTTAATGTTTCTCAGTGGTCCGGTTCATGAAACCAATTGAGAAAGTATTCTGAAGTCTGAGTGCACGCTAGATTTTACAGCAAATGAAGTTACTGGATGAATTATATCCTCTTGCAACGTTCCGGCATACGATCTGCCTGAATGAATACCACACAATCAACTTAAAGTCTGATGTCTTCAAGGGTGTGGCATGCCATCGGCGAACAGTCACCTAATCAGGCCTTGTAGCAAAAATAAAAATGTTCGTGATCCAACGCCATGCCAAAGTATTAGTGCAAATGTATCAAATATCGCAAAAGCCCAATTCACCACAGAATTTTCCGGAATCGCCAACACTCCTGTAGATGTTAGTGGCAGTGCCTGTTGTCAGCCAACTCTCATAAACTGTCAATGTCCAGCTCTTACTACGCTGGACCTCACGCTCTCCCTTGAAGACTTTCAGGAACACTTTGTATTAACCAACGCGAAAACCAGAACACAGATTGGCGACTCGGGAATCCTTTATTCTTACGCCAATACGTAACCAACAATAAGGTTATTACACAAGGTCTAAGAACAAATGTCATAACAATAAATCACGATAATACTTCTGATAGTTTTATGTCTCCCATCGAACAGCGAACGATGAGACGATGACTGCCGCGAAAAATATGGAGAAGTTGGGTTTGAGCAAACAACCATGAATTGATCGTTCACTCTTCAACTACAGAACGTAAAGGTAACTGCGACCATATGCCTGCACACATCATTGGAATTATCCCTCCTTCAAACATCACCACCACCATGAAGAGTTAACTCATTCCACAGCTACTTTACTGCTATATTTACTCAAGCAAACAGGCTTGGGTCGATGTCTGCAAACAGAGCATCAGTAGTTGCTTGGGCAGAGAGAAGTCACTTAACCCACTGTCGGAGATACCTGAATTCAAATCCTTTTTCATTGGTTATTTAGCGCCAAAACAGTAACGTTAACATGCATTGCTCTAGTTCCACTATTAGCCTACGCAAGGTGAATTAGACTTCTTATTACTACAAACATAACGTCCACGAGAAGGCACTCATGCAGTTGTCCGGTACGTACTACATCTTCACCTGAGAGATGCAACAGATACCGTTTTTCTAGCTATCCAATGACTAAATCAAACGCCTACCAACAGGTATAAAACCGCCCAATACAACTCTGTGTGGTTAAAATATATCGAAATGCAACGCAGGGCCATGTACAATGCGGGACCACTTGGTTAAATACCTCTGACCATATCCCTGAGACTTATCTGGCGCGAATTACTCGATGCTCTCCATGAAGTAGCACACATAATGAGTAACGATTAAGGTACATACAGCTTCACATAGCCCCACTATATACAGGAAACACCTGCCTCCCCTTTATCATCCAGCCCAAATTTTTCAGCCAGCATGATATCTCAACCCCAAAACCAACATAATAGCCTCTTTTCTTCAGAGATGTGGTCGAACAACATCAACCGCAGTAACACTCTATACCCTCCAAGGTAACCACCTTACTCTCTGTTGATTTTGGTGCAGGGCACTGTTCCTACACTGTCAGCAAGTAATTTCACCTGGGTCAGTACCATTTAAATAGCCTACGCTTGACATCGGACACTTCAAGGAAAACTCTATTCAGAGTATCTGAGGTCTCTTTTCTGCTGGACAAAACCCCTTTCAAGCAGGAGTATCCGATATAAAGAAATTTTTCACTACAGTATGATAAAACTTGCTACAGAAGTGTCTGATGCATCCTTAAGCTGAAACAGCTGCCGTATTAGTACTCCGCTGTCTCGAAGTCGTCTCGGGACATACCATCTGACGTGTTCTGACAAAAAGTAGTTGAGCTGCCAGTTATAACCAAAATATATTACTAAAGCAACTAGTCTACATCCTCAGATACCCTAGAGGTCTCCACATAACGCCTAATGAATTGTTAGTTTCTTGCATGTAAACACCGGTTCAACTTGTCATTGAAAATGCTGCCATCATGTAGGTGTTTAGAAATTCGTAACTTTGATTCACATAAAGGTTAGAAAGAAACCACGTCTTTGTGATTTCACAGTGGCTAGACTATGTCCATCTGCTCATCAAGTTGCTTCTCGAAACTTGTTTCGTGTGCTAGCGAATTAGTGTAAATTACCCATATCCCTCTCATATGGCGTTTATATCGCAATAACATTGGAAAATACGAGATGCGGACACCATTTAGATTAGATGTTTTGTTTGAAGTTATGTTTAGGGCCACAATTGTTTAAGTTCGTTCATTCGAGATAATCGCGCACTCTTGACTGTAAAAGGCCACATGGATTCTTTTGACGCCTACGGGCCGAATTCACAAGCCTTAACCTTTTTTGATCCTGAAGAAAATGACCTAATTGGTGGGGATACTCAGGGGCCAGATTACGACTGCAACGATTTCACCTTGCCGTCACCGACTCAAACACAAGCATCTCAGCTCGATAACGACAAAAATTGTTTTTCTCAGCAAGTATGTTGCTTTATGTACCCATCTGATGTATATTTAGCTTGAGCGCTCCGATAGCCTAAACGCACTTTCCCAACGTGTAGCAGATTTAGATTTTAAGGACGACGATTTAGATGACTCTAATACCGAACTTCCAGAACACGCATGTGCTTATTGTGGTATTCATGATCCAGCTTGTGTGGTTTTTTGTAATACCACAAAGAAGTGGTTTTGTAACGGTCGTGGAAATACATCTGGAAGGTTAGTTCTTTCTTTGTCTAACTCCCCTTAGTCATATAATTAACCACCTCGTGAGGGCTCGGGCGAAAGAGGTAACCCTGCACAAAGATGGACCCCTGAAGGATACACTTTTGGAATGTTACGTATGTGGGTCAAAAAATGTATTCCTCCTTGGCTTTGTGCCTGCCAAGTCAGAGTCTGTCGTTGTATTATTGTGTCGTAATGTATGTGCAAATGCCAATAAAGATATGTACTGGGACCCTGCTCAATGGCAACCTATTATACAAGGACGTCAGTTTCTTTCCTGGCTTGTCAAAGTCCCTACTGATGAGCAGCAAGCAAAAGCCAGGCAAATATCAGCCCAGCAGATAAATCGACTTGAAGAAATGTGGAAGGAAAACCCCCAAGCTGCAGTGGAAGATCTAGAAAAACCTGGAGCTGATAATGAAGTAAATCCAGTATTGCTAAGGTAGGATTTGATGATATGATTGTCACACGTTACAGATATGAGAATGCGCGCCAGTACCGAGAAGTATTCATACCCCTGGTACAACTCGAGGCTGACTATGACAAAAAGATAAAGGAGTCACTAAAACTCGAAAACGTCTCAATTCGGTGGGAGACTGCACTCAACAAGCGTCGAGTGGCTTACTTCCGTATTCCTGGAGCCAATGAAGGTTTGTTTATGTTATGACCTAAGGGTTTGGTATTGAGAATAATATTCGTGTTTAAAATAATTTAAATGTTTACTGTACTTATTTCACCTCATATCGCGTTTAATTAGTCGTATACTTCTGTATTGTCTGTAGTTTTCTGCTTGCTTAGTATGGTGCTAAAAGGTAAGGTCACAAATACACGTAAGTCTTGATTAAAGGTGCAGAATGCACATCTGCAGTTCCAGTTTGGAACGTATAATCTCTCGGATACCCGTCTTCTGGGTTTTTGGATTTTGCGTTCGTAACTGATACTAAAATCTCCAATTCACATCAGTAAGGCATGCAAATATAAGAAAAGTGGTCACGACTTACTGTGTTCATGAATCGAGGAAATCCCACATCTTGAATACACTTACTGATGACAGTGAATAATACTGATTCATTTCCAATTATATGCTTACATCTAAGTTCCATAACCCTTTAATTACTGATTATTGAACATGATGTTTTATTTTGGGTTGGTCTGGATCTTCACAAAACAATATGAGTAATGGAAATGGTCGGGTATTTCTGTAGTGGGTCTAAGTCCCACATACAAACCTCCACAAGTAGCAGTCTAAACCAATGTAGTTTGTGCTTATTTCGGCATCTTTCGTCATTCATACAGTTTCACATGCAGATGGCTCCGTTTATTTAAAAATCTAAGTGAATGTTCATAAGTGCATGTTAACATTGTGTTCTTATGATTAGCACTAGGTAAAATCATTTGGAGTAATATTTAGATTAGATGCTGAATGATAGTTTAGGTGAGCCAATCAATAAGTTTCTCATCAACCAAGGGAACCATGACATGTGGTGAGCATACTAAACCAGTCTTAAGCGATGCTAGTAGGCTCAATATGGGAAAGTCAGGGGCGTTCAGGCATTAAAACTTGCTGGTCTGATTTGTTTAAGCAAATTGTCAACTGTTTGGAATTATGGAGGTATTAATGATCAGTAAAGACTTCTTGAGATGCAGCAATTATGTTGTTGTCGTCCAGCTTCTTAATATTAAAAATCCTCATTGAATTATTTTGCTTGTTTCAGGGTTGTCTGTCGAAAACTGTTAAATTTTTTATTTGAATGCTTTCGCGAAGTGTTTGTGCAGAGCTTTACGTCGGTCTTCTAGTAAGGCGAATTAACAAACGTACCAACATGGAAAAATCTCAAAACAGTTGGAAGTAGGGGAGAATAAGGTGCTACTGGACAACGCACATATATTTGTTACTGAAATACTTGTCGGTTATTGAAAATTGGTTAGTGGACCAACTACTTTAGACCAGATAAGAACTGCAACACCGTTTTTAAACATTTAGCATCTCTTGTGGGTATCTAGTTACCGTCACTTCAGGTTACAACTGTAAAAGGTTTCACAGCTTCATAAATTCGTTGAAAGTGCGCTCATAACATTCGGTGCTCCTCTTCATTGTCATAACGACCATTTGGTGAAATGGAAGTGCTATGTTGTTGTTTCCAAAGTTGCAGCTGAAAATATAACCAGTGCACTCTTGTGAGTCTGAAGTTCGCCTGGAATCCAGTACTCAGTTGCAAGCTTACTAGGTCTTCAAACCCTGGGATCTAGGATATTTGATCAAACTCGTTATCACTGGAATTGTTGTCCCTTGATTAGTGATGCACATCATTCCGTTTGAATCATCTCGCAAGCTTGAGTAGTAACTAGTGTCACAGATAACTTACTTGGAACCAGCTTTAGACGATTCTGCGTTCCCTTATTGATAAGATTTTGTTTTGATAAATCACAGTGTTGTACAGTAATATTACAGTTAATATTACTGTACAACACTGTGATCTATCAAAATAAAATCTTATAATGGAGTTAAACCCTACCACAGTGACCAAGTTTTATACTTCTATCGATTCTGCGTTCCGGTTTATAGGTTACTTCCCGATTATTTTTCCAGTGGTATCTCTTTATTCACGTATAATATTATTATTATGATTCCTGTTCACTAACACTATACCCTTGGTTACTTTCCTACCGCAAGGCTGAGAAGGAATCTGGCTAACATAGCAGCCGAGTATGTTTTTAGTTACTAGTTTGATTCATAAAACATACAAATCCATACGTTTCTGTCAACAATGAACCTCTTCTCTACAGAGTTCAGTAAAAGTAAACCTCTTACCTCATCACTAGTAATTCGCCTTAATGAATGTTGCTTTTTCAGGTCCAGAATTGCGTATTATGCATGGCGATGAATTGATTATTCACCAGTTCAACAGCCCAAATGACCTTCTAGTTGGCGTCGGTCACGTAATCAAAGTACCAGACAGTAAGTCCTTAAAAATATTAATTATGGGTATTATGCAAGAGACAGCTAGGGGGGAGTTATTTCTGTTGCTATCTTGTGTTTATGTGGCAGTGTCTGCACTTTCTTTGACTTTGGGGCACAACTTGTAGGTGCAAAAACTAGAGTGCATCTTGCAGCGGACGTATACTGTTGATATTATGTAGCACTGCAAGCAAAAATGTTTGAGAAGATATTGCGTAAGCCGAATGTAACACCTTTAGGTATAAATGAGCTTCATGAACTTTGATTAGTAAAGGGAGTGATAAAATGTTTTAGATCATATTATACCACAGCACGAGGTTTTCAAAACATAGTCCACTAATTTATATTGCTACACTCAATGCATGTACATAGTATTCACCACTACATATTAGACACTGAATTTCTTGAAATTCAGACCGCAATTCCAGTCACTCGAATATTTATCTTCCTTTAGTTCTTAAGAGGTGATCGACTATTAACTGACATAAGAATCTTTAACTACATTAGAAGTTGGTGAATTATTTTCCAGCAGCAGTAGAACTATATTTCCTGGGCGTTCTATTGATAAGGTTACCAATTATTAACTATGAAGAGATAAAACGATGTCCCCCTTATTTCATTAATAAATTATTAGAATAATGTGTGAATATTCGGTTTGTAACTGGTTAAGAAGAAAATGCTGTTGATACAAGAAAACTAAGTTAATGGGGCTAAAATAGCACGTTTCATACTGTAGTTTCAACACTAAAAGCGAGATGTTTCCTCCCATTTCCCCTGAAAAATTGAAGTTCGAAGAAATAATATCTCATATTCTGTTTGCTTAGTACGCTAATATTTTGTTTAAACCGTCCAAAGTTGTTAATGAGTCCACTTTCTATTATAGATTTTAGTGAAGAAGTTGGTTTGGAAATGAAACACGTCAATGATACACCTTTGGATTCTGCAACTTACAGAATTGAATTCAAGTGGAAATCAACTCCCTTCGATAGAATGAAAAAAGCGATCGTGACTGTAACAGATGAGTCACGTGGTTTGTTACCACCATACATATTTTATCGATTATTGGGGCAAGAGTTAGATGATATGGTACTTAAATGCAACCTACCTAAACGCTATTCCGCACCAGACCTTCCTGAGCTCAATCACAGTCAGGTGTTTGCTGTCAAAACAGTTCTTCAGCGTCCACTTAGTCTAATACAAGGTCCTCCTGGAACGGGGAAAACTGTCACGTCTGCATCAATAGTTTATCACTTAAGTCAAATACATCAGAAAAAGGTCCTAGTTGTTGCACCTAGCAATACTGCAGTTGATCAGTTGTGCGAAAAAATTGATCGTACAGGATTGAAGGTAGTACGTTTATGTGCTAGATCCAGAGAGGCTCTAGCTTCTCCTGTTAGTCGTCTTATGTTGCATATACAAGCTCAGAATGTGAAGGGACATACTGAACTTCGAAAGTTACAACAGCTGAAGGATGAAACTGGTGAACTGAGCCAAGATGATGATAAACGATATCAACTTTTGAAGAATGAACTTGAACGTAGGTTAAAAATATTTTTATAATTTTTAGTTAAACTGCTCCCTCCCCCAACTGGTCTGTTTAGACAATCACAGCCTCGATACATTTCTTCGTGTATTATCGTAAATACAAATCTATTTGAGGTTGGGATATCTTCCCACATTTTTCCATTAATGGATAGAATCTAGTTACGCGTACTTTCCAATCAGGTCAGATCGTTATGCCGATATTTCTAAAATGAGCTTTGTGCATTGAAGGTTTTTTTCGAAATGAAGAGTGTCGAGTATCCTAAAATCCATTCATATGAAGACTGACCAAGATCTGTCATTTAGGAATCTTTAAGCCACTGTGAAATGTAATGCATTGTGTTAAACTACAGTTGTTCCTTGTTTCCGATATCACTAAATTCTCTTCAAGCACAGGTATTTTTACAAAAATTTAGTGGAGTCCAACTATAATTTATCAAAACTTAAAATTAGATAGCAAAAATATTCGCGACGTTATGTGAAATAAAAAGGTTTGTGGTGATGACAACTTTTTCTTTTCGATGCAGTCATCAACCGGGCTGTACACTCATAAGTATGTAACAAAAGAGTGAAAGTTTCCGAACTGCATCCGGTCAGGGGGCAAAATAATATACTCAATAACAAGTAAAATAATACAGTGGGAAAATAAACACGAGTTTGGGACATATTTACATAATAATGATTTTCTTGAGGAAAACTGGTTATGACGGTCCTGATAAAGACACTGGCTAGGTGTGCTTTTGGATGCATAACGCTTACTTAGGGTTTTTACTGCTGTTGCTTCGCTTCTACTAATTATGTTGATTTCATTCCCGTTTATAAGTTTGTTGCTATCTTGTAAATGACTGAAGGATTTTACAAATAAACCTGAGTCCACAGGATTTTCTGTTACTGAATTTAGAGCATTTCCGTCCCACTTTGGCAGTCAAACTGCGTATCGTTCACGATCGCGTTTTACAAGCAAGCGCATGCTACGGCTGATATACTCGGCTTCACAGAAGCAAATAAACTGACGAGTGCATGTTACTGCGTACTAATACGTTAGTTTGTATTACACATGCTAGTTCAAGGATTTATTGCAAGAAAACGTTCGGAGTTCTGGGAATGGAGTATGGTTTCCTGAGGTTTCAAAAGCTGTTTTTTGAAAAATACCTGCCGCACTGTCACATCTAAAAGTTTATGAGCTACATTGTTAAGTGATTTGTCTATTCTTTTATTAGGTGACATTCTCTTGGCTGCAGATGTAGTTTGTTGCACTTGTGTTACTGCCGGTGATATTCGTTTGGAGCGCCTCAGCTTTCATTCTGTTTTAATTGACGAGTCTACACAAGCGACAGAACCGGAGTGTTTAATACCCTTAATGGTGGGTTGTCGTCAAGTTGTTCTTGTCGGTGATCATTGTCAGTTGGGTCCCGTAATAACATGTAAAAAAGCTGCTGGTGCTGGACTTACTCAAAGTCTGTTTGAACGTTTTGTCCTTTTGGGTATTCGACCCATACGCTTACAGGTGAGTTCTTTATTTTAAAAAGCATACTTATGCCTAGTGATGTGGGAAAAAAGAATAAGTTGCTTGATGCAAAACTCCTTGTTAGATAAATTGGTTAATGTATCGGTTAAATATAAAAACCCTAAATTTAAAATCCAATTTGTTCAGTGTTCGTGTTATGCTTCCTGTATTGACTCTTTCCATTACTTTTATGCCGATAACTAATTTTCCTCATCTCTTTTGTTGGAACATCGTCTAATACTCTTATGTTCAAGACTTTTGCAGAAGACATTACTCGGTATGCCTACTAATTCGTATCGGTAGCACACCGCAGTAATAACTGTCATATTCGTTTATCCTCTAAGAAGGCCAATATTAGTTTAAAGGATTTAGAAGTTCGTGTTTTTTCCTTCTTAGGAATATACACACCAATTGCTTGGTGTCAGTGTCTGATATAACACTTTTGTCTTTCCGCAACTGTGGTAAAATCTGAACTTGTAGACCTTACTAAGTTGTATCAAGGAGAAAGCTTTTTTACCATAGAGTGGGACGGTGTGACAGTATTAAATTGTAATACGGCAGGACAAAGAGAAATTGACAGTACATGCGACAGGAATGATCAAATACTTGTCCCAGACATCGTAAAAATCCTACTACCCTTAGGATAAATGGAAAAGAAAGACAACTTCCACAAAAACCAACTTTCAAAGTTGTAGAATTACGTTTGATATGACCATGGACGGGACGCCGTCTAAATAAATAATAGTTTCACTGTGTGACCTACATGATAAACAAAGTAATGGGAAATGTCGAGATAATTTAGAATTATGCCTTTCTTGAAAATCTATTAAATAATACAACATCCCTCCTGGTTTTACTGTTTTTTTTCTACTTAGGTTCAGTACCGTATGCATCCAGCATTGTCAGCTTTCCCCAGCAATGTCTTTTATGAAGGAAGTTTACAAAACGGAGTCACAGCAGAAGATCGATGCAAAAGGATTGACTTTCCATGGCCAAATCAAGATAGACCTATGTTTTTCTATTGCACATCTGGACAAGAAGAAATATCTGGTAATGGTGTGTCATACTTAAATAGAACTGAAGCAGCAACTGTTGAAAAGATTGTCACAAAGTAAGTTATAAAAAAGTAGTGTTTCACTTGCATGTAAGTAAATTTTAGGAAATAAGTTAAGTATCTCCAATACAAGTATACTTTTGTTTGTGATATCACCAGAGACGATTCTTTGTTAAAAAGAACATCATTGCATATCGTGTTTTGCTGCGAAGTGACGCAAGCCTATACATCAAGTTAATGGTGGGATAGTGAAATAAAGATAAGTTAGTAGGAATCAAGCAACCAGAGTTGTCCAAAACAAGGGAGAATAGATAAGAGAAGTAAAGGAATACTAAAATACTTTCGCAGCAAAACAAGGTTTTAATAAACCTGCGTCTCTAAGTGTCTAGCCGTATACTTCACTATTTACGCGACTATATTCAAGAAGCATTGCTAGTGAGTTGGAGATTACTTCGCTAACCGTTTTGGTCCCAGCCTATATGCATTTTTTTCTGTTCATTTTTAAGACTAGTTTTGCAATCAAAATTGATACTGATCATATTTAACTTAATTCTATTAAGCCATACAATAAAGTCAGTAGTTGATGAGTGAATAAATATTTTTAGCCAATCGTATTTACTATAGATGAGTGCTATTTGGTTTGTTTTTTAAAATTAATTTTACAGAATGCTTAAAATTGGTGTTCATCCAAATACAATTGGAGTAATCACTCCTTATGAAGGTCAACGTGCTTATTTGGCGCATTATCTCCACTATTCCGGCTCTTTGAATGCTAAATTATATCAAGAAATAGAAATTGCCAGTGTTGATGCATTTCAAGGTCGAGAAAAAGATTATATTATTCTTTCATGTGTTCGGGCAAATGAAAACCAAGGTATTGGATTTCTTAATGATCCACGTCGTCTGAATGTTGCTCTTACTCGTGCTCGTTATGGGTTAATAGTGGTTGGAAATCCAAAGGCACTTTGCAAGGTAACATTTTCCCTATTGCAATAAGTTTATTCAAATAATTGTTGGTAATAGTAATAATTCTTTGACAAAGCGGTTTGTTTTCGATTATCAGACTGTACAAGTGTATTGAAGTTTATTTAGTCATTTAATAAGTTTTCTTCCATAATCCATGAGATTGAACGTCCCAAAGCTGTAGTGCTGTGATGTAAACTTAATTTTACTTTTAAGTTGGAGATTTTTATATAGTAGTAAAATATGAGACTTCAGATGGTTTATTCATTGTATCTGTTTCTAAAAAGCCATATTTAGAAACACCGTTGTAAGTAACTGTTCATTATACGTGATGTTGATTTGTCTAACATACAGTGCGTTAGTGGCACAGTAGTTAGGACTCTCGCTGACCATGGTATTGGATGGGGTCTCTAAAATCCTAGGCTCAGTAACATGCACAGACTAAGCAGAACTCGGGAGGAACAGACAAGGGAAAATCAAGCAGGCTTTAGACCAGGTAGAGGGTGCATAGATCATATCTTCACTCTTCGACAGATTCTAGAACATAGACACACTTTTCGGCGTCCAACAATTGTCATATTTCTTGACTTGAAGGCGGCCTTCGACTCCGTGGATCGAAAGGTACTATGGCAATGTCTGACTGTGAAGGGAGTGCCAAGAAAGTACATTGCACTAATCAAGGCACTCTATTCAAACTCACGTAGTCGTGTAAGGGCTTATGGGGAATTGTCATCTGAATTGGTAACAACCAGTGGTGTCCGACAGGGATGTCCACTTTCCCCATTTCTGTTTAACTTCATCATAGATATGCTGATGGAAGTATCCTTAACTGAACGTAATGACTTAGGAATCGACTTGTTACCAGGGAATAGTCTTATGGACTTAGAATATGCAGATGACATAGTCCTGTTAGGGGAGGATGCTGACAAAATGCAGAGTCTTCTGAACACCTTGAGCAGCAATCTTCGTATGTTTGGCATGCGATTCGCCCCTACAAAATGTAAGATGCTGCTACAGGACTGGACCACGTCAACCCCTAACTTAGTGATAGGGAGTGAAGTGATAGAACATGTTGACCACTTCACCTATTTGGGAAGTTGTATTAGCACCAACGGACTGATTGGCGATGAAATCTCAGCACGGATCCGAAAAGCTCGAGCTGCTTTCGCTGACTTACACCATCTCTGGCGTAGGCGTGACATCCGGTTATCAACCAAGGGACGTGTGTACTGCTCATCAGTTCGCTCCGTCCTTCTCTATGGCTCTGAAACATGGCCAATACGCGTTGAAGACATGAAAAGGTTGACTGCTTTCGATCATAGATGTCTGCGATCTCTGTCTCACGTTAGGTGGTTTCACAAGGTAAGTAATGTTGACGTTAGGCGTAGAGTGTTGGGCAAAGAGGGAAAATCAATCGACGAGGCTATAAAGTTACATAGACTGAGATGGCTAGGTCACGTGGTGCGCATGCCTAACCATCGCCTCCCCCGACGGGCATTGATAGCTGATATAGGTGCAGGTTGGAAAAGAGTAAGTGGTGGCCAAACAAAAACATGGCCTCATCAATCCATGAAATCCTTGACAGTTAAACTGAGTCGGTCAGTTAGGTAGGGAGATGCAGACTTCCGGGTTGGGGCCCTCGGGACTCTAGGAATCAATGGCTGGAGACAATAGGTGACATGGCTCAAAATCGTTGTCAATGGCGCAGATGTATTCAGTCTCTGTAATCTTTCATATTCCTTTCTACCATTACCCATTCTGTTTCACTCTTATACTTGTCAAACTGTATTGATTCTCTTCACTCATCTTCTTGTCTACCTCTGTGTGCTATTTGGAACGTGGCAACTCGAACTGCTGCACTTCGGTGCCAAGTTCTATGTTGAATCCAGACAGACAGCTGACCATGCACGTGGTCCGGGGTTCGATACCCTGCCGACGCACACTTGATATCAATGATCAGTCTGCGAAATTTGGGTCACCGATATCACACGCTGAAAATTCCATACTTATACCAAAATTACAGTGTAAAATCAAGCTGTGTTCAAAATAAAAAAATGTATTTAACCTACTACACCTGTAATCTATCAAGCATTATATGATATGCATCACAATTATTTTTCAGCAACCACTTTGGAACCAGCTACTACACTTTTATCGTGACCAGCATTTACTTGTGGAAGGACCGTTGAACAACTTAGGCGAATATATGTTACAGTTCCCTAGACCAAAGGTTCCCTATACTTTCAAACCCGGTGGCCATTATTTAGCACAGCTTAACGCGAATCCAGCTTTGCTGAATAATAATCAGTTAAATAGTCAATTGAACGTACATTCGGCAAACCAATTCAATTATCTTTCGAATTCATCTCAACCGTGTTTTGATAATCCTAATGGACCTACAGCTTTAGTGGCAGCAATGGCAGCAGCAGCCGCTGCAGCTTATTTCGGTGGTCCTAACTCGAATGCTAGACCAAATGTTCCGTCAAATCTTAATCAACCAGGAGCAAGCCATGCTGCAGCATATGCTGTTGCAGCTGCTGCAGCAGCTCAACATCAACCGAATCAGTCATTTTCAGGACAAACCAATGGTGGTTCACATAATATGCATCAACTTCTGAACAAATCTCTTTTTGACCAAGTTGGATATATTGGACCAAATAGACAGTATGCAGAAGCTAACGCTAGCTCAAGTAAGTGATTCATTCTTCTGCAAACCTTTCTCGGTTAATTCTATTTATTACTCGTTACTTAGTTTTCCAATGAAAACAACAAATAACTTAGTAAGAAACAGTGGTAAGTCTGTAGACAAACACTGAAACTTATTCCTGTTTCGAGACTATAAAAAAGTCAAGGTAATATGTTTGAATAAGCGATAAAACGACCTTTACCGTGATGTTCATGATATTTCCTAGGCCATGTATTAATTTGGTTAGTGGAAAGAGGTCGTTGAAATTTGTATACAGCAACACGATTTGTTGAAAAGTAACACTCTATGTACTGATACCTATGACAGTCCCACGATCTCTTCTGAACATTTCATATGTATGAAATACGTCTTTTGCGGTTCTTATTTGACTAGCCTTTGAGTAATACCGAAAACAAATTGTGCGTTTAATAAAGCAAAAATATTAGTGACGTGCATATGCGATGAACACTACATGTACAGGTTCAGTTAATCGCCTGTGGGTTACTCATAATTCTAAAGAAAAGTTTAGCATCAAAATTGTGTTGGTTATTAGTTTTGACATATAGGAGGATTAAAAATAGCTGGTCACGGAAATCAAGACAGTTAATGCTCAGAGGTTTCCAAAGGGTCATTACGCAATCGATAATTTGTAAGGTATTGATAATTAGGAGGGAGAGATAAACGAATTACGTAAGAACACCAGGATACGAGTAGGTTGATTGAATTAGCTAAAATAATAATAGTAATCATTAGTTAAGTAACACCGCGGAATATTAGTCACAAGTAGGAGGGAGAATCATGTCTAAGACGAAATCATGTGGCCAGCCACGGCAAGCAAAACAGACTGTACGAATTTCTTTTGAACGCAGATTTCGCTTATTCAAACTGGTTTAATTTCGATGTGAACTATGTGCTGTTGTAGAGCCGTTGATGACCTTGTTTTTCTGTGCAAATGTTAATTCTTAAAGTATCAAAACAGTTTTGTGACACGGTCCTAATAATGCAAGTGATAAATTGTCTTCGAGTGTTGCTATACTTTTGTCCTAACGGTAAGAATTAAGTTGCACCAAGTAACACTTCTGTGTGGTGTGTACGCCGTTATAGCAGTTATCAGACCTCCTTTTTTCATGGATCTGATTTGCAAATTGGTCAGATCAAAAGAATAGGTAATTGAAAGTTAGCTTGTGGATAATCAACCAGTTTACAAGTTACGAGAGGCCGGTTCTGTTAGAGAATGAACGATTTGAACGTCTCTACCTTTGTGTGCTATTTGGAACGTGGCAACTCGAACTGCCGCACTTCGGTGCCAAGTTCTATGTTGTATCCAGACAGACAGAAATAAGCATAGTAAATGACTGTAAACTCTTCCAAAACTATCCGTCAAGATAAACTGCTTAGGTCAGTTTCTTCTAGTCCTATATTAATTTCCGACTGTTATTGTAAGGTGAACTTAATCAGTCTAATTTCATGTTATGATGTGATAGATTAGCTCATATAAATTCACATGTTATTTCACTGTATCTGTGTACAATTCTCAACTCTATTTGCGTCTGAAACATACACGACAATATATGAAGAAGAAACGGATTTAAAGAAACCAAATTCTGTTTCAGATAAGCATATTTATAGTAGCGTTGTGAATTCTTGTTGTCATCTGTAGTTAATTTGCACAAAAGTATTGCTGCATATGTCCGTCTTGTGTACTTAACAATTTGTTTCCCATCTTATCTAGATCTCCCCATGCCATTGAGCATGCTTATGCCTGCTAATCGTCCTTCGAATACAAATGTTACAAATCCATTCGGTTCTTCTGGTCATTTTGGCAATGGGAAATATGGTAACAACATAGGAGCAGCTGGATCACTCGGCAGACCGATTCAAACACTAGGCGCGATGAACATGCATACAAATCACTCTCAGGCAAATACAGGAAATACAAGAGCTCCAGGTGGTCCTCTTCCTGGTTCGGGTTCTACAGCACCCCGATATCTTGGAAATGCACGTCGCAATATGCAAAACAATTCACAAAATGCCTCAAAATCGCGCCAAGCCGACGGGGTTAACAATTCAATAGAACGCGGTGCTACTAATGTTGCCAATACTGGTGCTGGTTTGCTGTCGCAGCCCGGTTTATCAGAATTCTCAGGAACACAAGGAACTTCTAGTTTGGGTGCCCTTGGTGTATACAATAGTCAGTCGCGTCATGCAGGGCTCTCTGGCTTATCTCAGGTAATTTGATTCTAATTCGCATATTGTTTTACTAGCACGTAACTTAGTCCTGCAATTCTCGCTAAGTAGTAGCGCTATTTAGACATGAAACAGGACTTAAATTTAATGCGCTTCTTCAAAGATGAGTGACCTAGTTTGCTATCATACTTAAAAATCTTGATATAGAGTGCATTACTGTGTGCAAAAATCTGAGGAAAGTAGGTGAAAATGAGGTGATTTTAAAAAGTATTTGTATGATAGTTAATTACAAAACATTTACTTATTACAATGCTCCCTTACAAGCATGTTCTACAGTTAGCACTGATTTAACAACTTACTATTAAGTAACTAAGCTATCTTTTAATTCATCTTTTAGGAAAGCACTTCTTTAGACTTCCGCCTTGGTCAAGGTGCTAGTCAAATGGACAACTTATTGTTGTCACAAGATTCGACGTTTCAAGGAGCTACCGTACCCAAAAGCAAAAGGAATTTGCAAAGAGAAGAGGACTTATTTATCACTGAAAATGACGACCATTCCAATGAAGGTTTTGATGCAAGTTTGGTTAACGGAGCCGACCTAGAAGATATTGATGTTTCTCAAAATGTCAGCTGTGCGAGCAATGGTGCACTGCTGTCGCAGTTCTAAAGAACTCATTCGGCTCCAAAGCCGGATATCAGCGATTATGAGCTAACATATAATATCTTCAATGGGGTGTCTGTTTACAGTCATTCTCGACAACAACGACGGAAAGAATCAATTAATTTGAACGTGAACGGATAAGTGAATCTTGGTTCATAAATATGACCTAAAAACTGCCTCTAATGATTTGGTCACATAGTTCTGAAACAAACATTGGTGTTCTTTTTTATGCTTCCTAGTGATGCACTCAGAAGTTTGCACTACTTGCCTTTAATTACTGGAAATACTGATCTGTTCATTTGAAGATGTTTATTTTCATGATAAATTCTTTCACATATAAATTGTACATTTTATCATTGTCCCGTTGACTTTATTCTAAATCTGTTGTATACAGTGTTGAAGAGCTAGTATGTATTCTTTGAAAACTAATCAGTTCGTACAACCCGTTGCTCTAGTCCGGTTTTCCTATACTCCGACCGCATTTGCAAGTACAACTTTTTCATTTCTTCGAAGAACTGAGGGTCTTGAATACTGAAATGCAAAAGTTAACTTAAAATTATTCTTATTACTATTTTTTGTTGCACTCCAGCGCCCGATAGAAATCCTTGCGACATATATATATTGCTGTCCAGTAGTATTTCTGTGTACAGTTGGACCATTCTAAATGCAAAATTTCATTAGAAGTGGGTCCTTACCATCCCAAAGATTGGCACATTGTTTTGTCCTTAGTCTGTCATACATTAATGCGGGTATAATGCTCTCCTCCTCAACTCGGCTGATTTCATTGCTCTCAGGATCACCTGAAGGAGATTATTTAAGTATAAGGTAGATTTTTAGTTGACATTTTTTAAAAAGTGCACAATTTCGCATCGGAAAATATGAGTGTGAAAGCCAAATCTAGAAATATCACCGTGCCTCGATTCTATCTGCAGCCTGATTAATTCTGTTCCTATCAATCTAGCTGAGTGGCGCGTTGACTCAGTTTTTGGCTTTCCAGTACACTCGTAATAAACCTAACTCACCTAGACCAAGAGGACCACTTATGTCTTCAGACGGTAATAAAGCAAATCCGATACTTTCACGTTTAGAAAATGGGTTGCCCATTCACCGAGTACCTTCCTGAAAAAAATGAGATTTCTAAAGTGAATTGATAGGAAGTAGTTAAAGTAAAAGTTATTTGTGAATGTTTGGTTTTGTTAATGTTCGACCAAACTAACTGGTAGTTTAACTCAGAACTTAACACATAAATTATAAAACACAACATAATCGAGCAAAGAGGAATTTATCGAAAAGAATATTCTTTGCTCGATTATGTTGTGTTTTATAGATATCTGAATGAATATTTTTGACATAAATTATAACCTGAACGTTTCGCCGTGTAAGCCACAGCTTCAGCAGATTTATTCGGATTATAATTAATCATCAAAATATATAGTCAAAGATTTACATAAATTGAAGTCAGTTAGTGCACGTCAAGGACATAATTCCCAAGATGTCACAAAGTAATTGTGTCTACAAGATAGTGTTCAGAATGTGAGGCGTGCTATATAGGGGAGAGCAGTAGGCAGATGAAGGTCAGAGTGAATGAACATAGACTTTGCACGAAACGTCCACCTAGAAATGAAGTAGAATTAAAAAGTCTAGAAAAAAGATCGGCTATAGCAATGCATGCGATAGACAGCGGACGTAAGATTGATTTCGACAATGTCGAAATTCTTGGAAGAGGATTTCATTCGCATAAAGAAAAATTCACTTCTGAAGTCTTGCACATTTTAACCACATCGAATGCAGTGAATAGGAAAGAAGGTATAGACTTATCACCTATATGGCAAACTCTTATGATTTTGGTGTGGTTTTGTTCTCTGAGCTGGATGGTTGGTTTGCGCAAACCAACCATCCAGCTCAGAGAACAAAACCACACCAAAATCATCCACCTGAGCTACAAATCTTCTCTATAATATCTAAACTCTTATTAAGCAAGACAAATGAAAAAACAACAAACACTATGAGCCTCCATGACCTTTAAAACATGTAGTGACACGTTTATCACATACGAATTCACGTATTTTCCTTATGACAAATAACATACATACACACACGCATACAAACCTAATCTTTACAAATCAACTATAGAAGAGTAAACACAACAATTTGACATTAGTCATTACAAATATATGTGAGGACTACTTACATATATTTATTGGTAAAAAAAATGTCCATGGACAAATGAACTTCAAGTAAACTGACTTCAATTTATGTAAATTTTTGACTATATATTTTGGTGATTAATTATAATCCGAATAAATCTGATGAAGAAGCTGTCGCTTACACGGTGAAACGTTCAGAAAAATCTTGTTTTGATTTTCTTAACAGGCTGGGATTAATTTAAATAATTTATAATGAATCAATCTGACTCGGCGCTCAAATTATTCCAGGAAGTTGGTAACCTACGGTCTGGAAACCTATAAACATAAGTTATAACTTTCGGCGTGACTGCTGTATTCCCACCGAAATCAATCACTTGAACCACCAATGTTTATGGCATATACGAGTGTCTTGATAAACCCCACAGCTTGCATTTTTAATAAGTTAGCCACTGAGTGTAATGCGTCACCTTGGTAGTCGTAGTATCCACCCACTCAGGTTACAGCATTCATCGGTAATTTATCACAAAGTTTGCATTACTCACACCATTGGGTTACACGAGTTGTATTGTTTATTCGCCTTGGTTCTCAAACAGTATTGTATCCTGCAGCTGAATTTGCCGAGAATTTTTATTAATACAGGTGAGGCCTAGTGAATGACAATATAGTCACTAAGATGCAAGTTGAGGCACAGAATAAGTTAATGTTATTGCCTTGTCGTTTGAGTTGATTTGAAACGTGATAAGAGGAATAAAGTTGCATTGGGGTAGGTTGATTCAAATCAACAAACTCCACGACAGCGAGTTACGGCCTTGTATAAGCAATTAGAAGATATTTAGAAAACAGAAAGATTGAACGAAGAAATAATTACTTTTCAATTAGATAACTGGGCCACTACATCTGTAGGGTAATCCGTTGTTTTTTGAGAAGATTGCACTCTGTGGGCATAGGTTGGTAGTATAGTCAACTCACCAAAAGTTTTTAGATGTGGTGAAGTTGCTGAGAGTAGTCAGTATTACCCAAGATACAGTAATTCGGTGCTGACCAAATTCGTTAGGCAAACTGTTGAATGAAAGAATTTTCGTTACGAGGAATCACAGCCGTTTACGATTGATATCATGAAACGGGATATCCCACCATGTCATGCTTTCTTTTACTAGAAGCCAATCAGTGTCATACTATGAAAAATATTGACTGATATCGACGACTTTGCAGCTGCAGGTTATGACAGTTTAATTTATTACTAAGTGCAATTTTGAAGATGCAAATTATTACATTCCTAATCATCATTATATGCCCGTTTCAACTTCAAAACCATGCACTGCTTGGGGAACCTAGAAGGATGGAGGATACCGAATGGATTACTGAGATAACAATCCCCAAATACGAAGTTAGCCAAGGTGTCCTAATCGAAGAACGCTTATTCAAGATAACTTGTCATCTAATTCGACGCAATAAGTTTACTAAGAAAGTCCCGGTCTAGATTACATACAACAGGAATGATTAACACGAACAATTCTAAGCTAACGAATTAGGGATCGAGTGAGATTATGAATTCACTCTCTTGGAAAGTCGCACCTAACTAAACAGATTATTGCTAAAAGAGTCCAGAAATTAATACAACTTTCCTGGAGTAGTTTATTTTGAACGATGAACTTGAGCTATATTGGATGAACTGAATTGCTGACGTAGAACTTCGAGCGAAAATGCAGTAGATAAGTCGCATTGAACAAACTGTGCAGACTGCATAAATAATAATGAGGATTGATAGCAGTTGAGAAGTAGCAAGGAGTGAATTTCCTGTCATTGATTCCCAACACACAGAGTACTGCAACCAGACTTAACCTGACTAGATGGTTCAGAACAGTGCAGCTTGGTTGTTTGCTGTAGTTCTCATGCAAACTTTATCCTACTATAGCAAGTATTGCTCGTCAAGGAAGCTGATAGCTTGGAATGCGTAACGTGTCGATGTGGCATCACTTCACAGATTAGGTTCCTTTCTCTAAACAATACAACGTGCCTAACTCCATTATTTTCGACCATGCTAAACTACCTAAAGGGGAGAATTTAAATGCATAAAACAAAGGTCAGAAAGGACTGATCATAACATATCTTCCTACTTAGACGGCATTGCCTCACTACTGTCCTAAGCTGGATGTCTTGAATTTCAGAACAGTGCACATGTGCTCTAAAGGGCAGCAAGGAATTAGATCTGTTGAACTTTGCCCTATGCTAAATACAGACTGGCAAATACCGAACAAGCCTTTTGTATTCGCACGAAGATTTAGCAGCGAACAGACCTTTAGGAGCCGATGCATAGAGCTGTCTATTTGTGGACAGAATCCTGACAGTTGATCGACCGATGCGTTCTTATTAAATCAAATGTGATTTTCAAATAAGATTTGAATCACTTACTTCCCCTAATGTTTTTTGACATTTAGTAGACCTACATTGCAAACCTACTACATACATAGTAACAACGTGAACAGCTCACAAAACCCACCTTTGTACCGTACTCTTTAAGCTTAGCGCTTCGAGATCGTGAAATATTCCAACATCCAATATCGAGCTAGTATTAACCAATTAGATTTCTTTGTGTTCACTTCTTGATTGTGAGATATAGGTTCCTGATTTTCGGTAAACTTTTACGTAGTTCGTCCCGCCAAACGAATGCCATACCTTTGGTTGACTCCAAAAAAGAGAAGTGCTGGGATTAATTATATGCGGTTTTGTTATGAGGTGTGTTAAGACTGTTACTGTTGTGAATGGAGTTGATCCTTTCACCAGTTAGTCCTCCGGTATTGTCGTCAAAAGAAAAAAGATAATAATATATACAGTTAGTGTAGGTTATTCAGACTAACAGACAGGAAAAAATAGAATAACCGTAATAAGAGTCAACTGATTAAATTTGAAGTTGATATATATGTATATACGGTTAGTTACGAGAAAATTTCTCGAGATAAAGGATATTCACATACGTTATTGACACACTGTAGACGGAAGAGGACGTAGGACACTTCCTTCTAATACACTGGGAGCGACTGTTCAAGGTTTGGTAGTTGCTGACTGCTTGGATCCTGTTGCTCGTAAAGGTTATAAACCATCCTGAGGAGGGCTCAACTAACTCCTAGAACCTCACTTCATGTAAATGAACTCATCCCAGTCTTCTTAAGTTGTTACAGCACGCGCTAATTATTAGTAACTACCCAACAGAGTTGATGGTTACAGGCGGAACCAGCGTGACGTTATACACATTACAGTGAGTTCAGGAATCCTTGCTAATTATATTATATTCATTTTTAATATTCATTTTTGAATATCACTGGGGCAATATTAATTGCGTGGCGGCTGCTGGCTTCATTCTCGAGCCATAATTATATTTTGGGCAGGATAACGTTGTTTTCACCCAGACAGTAAAGCAAAAACGTGGAAACGCAGAAGTGCTTCGAATTAATTGCTAACCACCATGGTGATAGTTGATAACATGCTGTCCGTGTCAACACCGTTGGAACACTTAAGCATTTTAATGACTTTTCAGTGTAGACAGAAGTGGACGTAAAGGTAAATGCAGAAGGTTAACATAATAATCCTTTAGTGTCACCAGGATAAAGCTAGTGGATGAATGTAACTGTTTGGGCATATTTGACTGAAAAGCGTGAATTCTCTGTAAGCCTTTTTGTAAATCTTCCCGTTGTCGGTGATATTTGAAATTTTGTGTATATCGGGAGTTAACCGATTTTTACGGAGTTTTTGTAGGGAGTACATACCGGCGGGGCTATCCAGTGCATCACTTCATCTAATTTTCAAGGGATGTTGTAGAAATACGGGGTGACTGTAAGAAATTTGCCAACTGCACTCAAAATATCGGAGCCATTCCATCTGAAACATTCTGTCAAAGGTCTCCTCAACTTTGAACAAGCCATGAGATCAACAAAAATCTGTTTAAATCTAGAAATCCTCAATGCTTACAATAGAATGGTTGTGCCTGTAAAGGATTGGAGAAATTTACGAATCCAGCTGAGACTCAGACGTTTAGTTTTCAGGTGCATATTTGTTCATCTCTGTTGATCGAGTTTTAAGGAGTTTCATTGCAGATAACTGGGGCTGCATAAGACTTATGTGTGGCCTCTGCACTCGCTCGAAATATTCCTACAAAATGTACACGCCCTTTCACCCAGGTAAATTGTTGTGGATAAGTACGATATGATTCTCTCAGTAATTATAGGAGGCTTTAGATACAGTTTGATCACCCAATTAGACGAAAGTTCAGGTCCGTTATAATAAGTAGCCACGCAGTGATCATGAACGGCTTCTTTTAGTTGGGGCCAATGAGGGAACTGGCTTCAAGCCCCTTGAGCACTGCCAATAACTGACTAACAGTATCTCTCAATGAGCGTCGAGGTTTCGGCAGAAGTGCAGTGCTAAAGCGAACTCATTATTTGTGTACTACGCCCATAGTTCTGTAAACCAAAGTGGTAACTGCGTAGGATTCCAATCAATCTCTCTGTCGCCAATATGAAAATATTCATGAATTTATTTAGCCCCCTGTAGACGAAGTGGTTTCAGAACTATTTGAGGGAGGATTTTCATTGAGGTAGCACACTTTCGCCTCTTGTAGGATTTTTTACAGCTTGTATTCACCTAAAGATTTCCAGCGTACTGTAGCATCCATCACATTTATTTCAACCAGGGGATGAACCTCATCTAATTTCCGGTAGATTAAGTTTACACACGCATCTTTGTTTTAGCACAGGAAACTAGATATATGGCCGACAGTATTTACAAGATCGGCTTCGTGGTTTTCAAGTTCTAGGTGCCCTGTGAACGAACAAATTTAAAGATTCGGCGTTTTACCGTGTTTGGTGAGCAAAAATACTCCAGTGTTGTAATATCACTAAATCTAGACGATTCGAGTTATTCAGCCTGCGAAAGTTGCGATTATTGGTGGAAACCTGATAACTCCCAAAACTTACTTTGTACATCCATCATGGTACATTTCACCTTTATTCCGTTTTTTCACTCTTAACGTCCCAAACATTATTGTTATTTCCCCGGACCCTGTAAAAGTGTTTCTATGAGGTGTGTAAAAGTATGGACTGGAAAATTTTCTCATCTGCTTGCAAATGGTTGAGACACTTGGTCGATAATTTTATAAAACTGGATATCAGAACTTTTCTGCCTGTGTAAAGAAACAATTTCTGATTTACGCACTGATCATTTTCTTATCTTCAAGGCTCTTGACACATTAATACACAGAGATGACTTGGTTGTGAATTTTGAAATCCATCTTATTAAGACGACTAAGTGGGTGTATTTTAAGCGCATAAGCCAAAAAGATACGGCTTCGAAAAGTTTTATGGTTCACAAATTTAGACTTCAAATAGAAGTATACCTGAGTTTTGTTGAGATATGACTTTTAGGCCATTTTCATTAGGAGTAAGAACGAATATTGGTAAAGTTCGCTTAGCTTAGTGAGGGGATCGTCTTCCTTGAGAAGTCATTATAGTCCTCATCGTGTGCTAATAAAAGGTGACCACGTATCTGTTCGAAAAACAAATACACGCAAAAGACCTAGAGTTCTGGCAACCCCCATAGGCCACTTATGTGTAGTCAGACATAATTCATTGGGATATTTCGGGAATGACACAGTAGATTTTACACTGTCTAGTCAGTGCCTCACGTTGGTGCAGGCTTCTGGCTCAGACATATCTCTCTCTTATATACGACCAAAGAAATCCATCAGAACACTTAAGTTTCACGGAAACAATTCTGTTAATTCTCTTGCCAATTTCGTTGTTGAAAGTCGAAACAATGAGTGGCGAGAAATTTGGATTTAAAAAACGGAACATCCATTGATCTGAACTGTTCAGGAGTGATACACCTATTTCTTAGCTTCGATCCTGTTTATCTAGATCTCTCCTAGTACCAGTACAACTTTTGTTTTTCTGTTTCAGTTGATGAACAAAAGAAGGTAGAAACTGTCCATCAAGATAGAATAAATAAATGGCAACACGGAGTCAGAAAGTTGTTTGAAAGTGCTGTGGGGATCATTTATTCTGTGTGTAAGATTCACACTCCTAATAACGTAAGCACGGAGACCCTATGAGTTCGGATGTAGTAAGGCAGAACTTCCTTGAAATTTTGGATTATTTTTGATACTAGCTACAGACTAGACTTCAACCAACTGAACTCTATTTAGGATGAAAAAGAATGAAAAATATTTAGGCGCCCAAGGAGTCGGAGGTCATCAGTGTGTCACATTCAAGACCCATAAAAGTAAGGCAGAATGAATGAACTTAAGCTCCCTGGACTCCTTCCATAGTGATTTCCATAGCCTCAAAGAAACACTTAGGTTAAGAAATGCATGCTTACAGGATGTGGAAATGTCACCGATCCGTCTGATTTACTTTCAATTTAGTGTCCAGAACACATACATTCACTGCTATCAAAAGACAGCGAGATAAATGCTTATCTTGGGGGACATTTTTTGAACTATTCGCAAACATGCCCAGAGATAAGAAGCGCATATTAGTAGAAAAAAATTAATGGAACATGATATCTAATTAAACAGCACGGCCATTTCGGTCACATATTTACACTTAAACGCGTTTTCCTCAAGAATCGTCGTAAAATGAAGGTTTTTTAAGCCCTAATGATCAATTTATCGCCACAGTTAAATCAAATTTACTCACTAAGTATGTATGACCCCAAAAGTTGGAAACAACTTTAGGACGGTAACGTTATTTGTTCCTACATTTGGAAAATTGCTTATATCACGCTACTGTAAAAGTGGGTAATTTCGGATACACATATGTCATAACGGAACTTTTTCGTGATATTTAAACTTGAAGACATTTTAAACTGATCAAAAGTAGATGTTACACTGATTCATATGTATTCGTTTCTGCAAACAGGCGTAGAGACTGTTCACTTATCTTTTGAATACTTTTAAATACTAGATGGGCTGAGGTATAGCTGTTATGCAACTCAAAGCGTTTTGTGTTTATATCGTTCACTATAAGTTCATGCTCCAAATTAGTGTCAATTTCAGATCAAGGTCACTAGCATTATCTGTTTTCGTAGTCGGTACGTTACTTCAGTGTATTAGATAAACGGTCTGGGAAGAGTGTAATTTTCAAATTTCGTCTTGATAGCAATGATATGTTTAAAATACAGTAATTTATATATTAGCACTGATCAGTTCTAATGAACTTGCAGATCTATCAATCAAAGCACTTACTGTCACTAACAGAATTCCATTTCGAAAATAAAATTCTGTATTTTTACTTGAAATAACTCATTTAACTCTTCGTTCTCCTACGTCATCTATATAATTAATTCCTTTCAAAACATTATTTTTTCAGGATAAAGTGAAAAGGTCAAGAAACTCTGTTCATTGTCCACTCTTAATCTCCTCCGAAAAATTTGCGTCGTCAATACAATTTGTAATGTGATTACATATGAAGATGTCAACGCGCCGTAATTCCTACTCATTATCTGGTAGAAGACCACATACACATGAAAAATCAGGAACACAACAACATTCTTGGAAAAACTTCTATAGGTTGGATGGTGATCCTATTGGACGGTAAGTTTTTTTAAGTAATAATATTTTGCAGTGGCTATGCTGGCAAGGTTTACAAAGTATTTGCGGACAACATGAATTTACTGGAAATTTCAAGTTCAGACCATCAGAATTTTTCGACAATTATATGTTCAGGAAATTATTTTGCCAAGCCTGGTGAATATTTTGCATGTAAAGCGATCCGCAGATTCCGTGGCGGAAAGGATACTTTCTCAAAAATCACTTCTGAGATACGGGCAATGATCAATTTACAAAGCTATTCAGGCCACTATTTTGAAAATACTAATCTTGCTTGTACTGATTCATTCCTCATTTCCATCCACCCAGGCAATCGAATGGATCCGCCAAAATCCGCCTCACCTAAACTATTTGCTGTTCACGAAGACTCATTGGAAGTAGCAATCGTTATGGAATAGTAAGCTTTTAATTGTAACCACTTTTACATTGTTCAAGTAAATAATGTGTGAAAGTTCAATTTGTATTATGAAGCATGATTACTTCTATAGGTTATGGTTGATTACTTCCTAATCTTTTAGACCATATGTATAAATTTATCCACTGTCGATGACTGATTATTATGACTAGAGATAAAATTCATTAGGAATAACAGTCTGTATTCGCAGAGCATTAAATGAAATTGGATTAGATACTAGCCTTAATGAGACTGTCTAAAACGGCACTTTTGATCAGTTGTAAATGTGTGCAGAAAAATGCATGATTAGGATCACACATTCATATTTTAATATGATTATCTACCTACACTTTCTGTAATGTTGATAGGTTTATGTTGAGGAAAGATAACCTATCACTGATAGCGCATATTTCCCATCATTTACATTTAGACCAGCCACGTGGTTTGGAATAAACAAATGATTATTATTATCAACCGAATTGTAGTAATTAATTGTAATCGTAGTATTAGTATTTCGAGATGACGGAATTACACGAATCCAACCAAAACACAGAGAGGGCGGAATTCAGGAATTTGTATTTAGCGGAATTATTATCCAATTCATATAAGAAATATTAACAATCAACAGTAAGTATTTAAACAATACAGAGATAGAAATAGTCAATCACCACACGAATTTTCGTTCCTGATGTAATAATGAAATGCACGAATAACTAACTTTAATGAGATCTGAAATGATAAAGTTCTTTCAAAGTAATCGTAAACCTTTCCCCATAACATTCAAGTGACTACATAAATACTAAGATTTATTTAGATTTTTGCTGGCATTTTATTTTATTTGTAGTTTTATGTGTATGTTTTCAGGGGATTATGATTACTTTGCTAATTTTTCTTAATACAGCTGAGAAGTTACAGATGGATCAAATACAAGTCACACTGTATGAAAGGATTTGTTATGTCAACAAACTTTCCATTTAAAAGTTGTCCGATTTCTTTTAGTTAAATTTTTAAAAATTCACTTTCATAGTTTTTTACTTGAACTATTGGTAAATTCTTCATAGTTATCTTCAAGGTATAATAAGCCACAGACATCACTGGTGTACTCAAGATAAAGAAAAATAATACACAACCAAATAGTGTGCTGCGATATATCTAAAGATTAAACTTTTCGAACTTTGCTACTGGGCTTCTACAGAAACATATATTTCTTGCGTAGGCACATGTTTTACTACTTTCAAACTATGAATTGTGCAAAACGTAGCCATTGCTTCATTAAAAGTTTATCCGAAGCATAGAGCTACTACTTCTTTCTCTTCCGTATTTCGTAGTTTTGACACGACCCCACACATAATTCACAACTTTTTATCAGTCCACTATTTTAATGATTGTTGGAGGCGTAAAATCGTGTTTATATTTCAAATGACTCTTTAACTAGTTAATGAAGTCTAGCTAACTGTAAACAAAATAAAAATTTTATGTTTTAATTGGTACCTAAAGTTAACTTCAGGAATGCGTCTGCCACTTCGCTTCAAAACATTTCACATTCTTACCAATTTCATTGATGTGAGTCTGAAGAATGCTGTTTCTTAAAAACCAGTCGTTTTTTGATAGTTTCCCAACTGGCACTAGATCAGTTTTACCTTCCAGAGACAATTAACTGAAAAAAATGCTGAGAGTACTTAAAAAGTACAAACTACTCCCATTTCGGTAGAAGGCTGGATAAATGGTGTTTACACACAAAACACTTCATAGAATCCACAATCTGTATGCAAGTGCAAAGAAAGTATCATGGGTAACAAAGACATCTTTCTGATAACGCTTAGTTGCTTGTTATTGACAGTTGATAAGAAGAACCTAGCAAGTAACCCGAATAAAGATTTATAAAGACAAAAAAGTCTAGTATAAATCAAAGAAAGAATAAATGCCATGTATGCGGGTAGAGGAGGACTGGATCTTGTTCTCTGCATTGGTCAGTTTGTTTTTATTCCTCCCTATTTCAAATTTGATGGAAAACAGTTCGAGGAGACCAAATTTCATAATTTGAAATCGAGGCAGCCATTTTTCAGTCTGAAGAACTCATTGTACAACTCTTCTAAGCTGAAAGCATTCACTAACTTTGCAACCCAAATGATTTCTATCCCTGTGGATGGCATCTTATATGTGAAAAGAAAAGAAAATGCAGTAAATATAGGCTGGTACTATAAAATTTCTCCCATGATAAAGGGAAATCAGTGTGTGATGTGCTAACACTGACCTGATCCAATCATTAGATACCTTAAGACTAACGGGAGCATGTACTTTCGTCTCCTGGCCCTATGGTTTACACTTCCGAATTTGCGAAGTTTGCGTGCTGCTATGAAGTTTAAACTAGGAGTGATAGAGTTATATTCCCCTGATAGAAAGTTGTGTATAGAATGAAGAAAATTTGGGCAAATATGGGTTTATTTCTGTTTTAGTCAGTCGCACTGTATCATCCTTTAAATATTTTTACATTTCCATTCTATGAATGTCTACTGAAAATTTGCATTGTCCACCTTGTAGTATAGTCTATTTGTTGAACTAATGTAGAAGAAACCATTTTCTACTGAAATGTTGCTTCCTCTAGCTCTAAAAGGTTTGCTTATATTCTTTTTCCCATAAGTAGGAGGTGCTTATATGAGGAAATGAAATGTCATTTGGTAGTTTAACTATAGGTACTGTGTTGAATTTCTTCTGCAACTTGTGGTGCTCTGACCGAACGTGACAAACTAGATGTTTTTATTAAATAAATAGTAAAATATATAGGAGCTATTAGCTCTTAATTTGTAGACTTCTATGATCATTTACTTTAAGATAATGTACAAGTTTGTTGATAATTGTTTTAATATACATACAACATTTATTTTCTTTCATTGTTCTAAAGCGCACACGGAGGATCATTATACGATTTATGCGGATATGCCTACCGGAAGTGCAGTATTCCCACGTCGCCTAAAACAGATCATCAGTTTAAAAAGTCTCTTGTGGATGGATTACCTGAAGTATATGTTTGTCAATTACTAGTTAGTATTCTTGAAGCATTGATGTACATGCATGAATCCTTAAAAATGGTTCATCTTGATGTTAAGGTAAGTTAGAAAAAAAATACTTCGAATTTTGTTTTTTACTTCTTACTTAATTGGTTGTATATATTAACTGAACTTTTGTGAACACATGGACATTAATTTGATTAGACACTGGCCAGTAACTAGTGTAATGTGTATAGTCATTTATTTGATGCAGACTGAATTCTATCAGTCAAGCTGGCAATGTGGCCGACATGACACGAGGTGGCTTACCATCACGGTGTACTTTGCATTATTGATATTAGATGGTTGGAGAAAATCAGCAGGAAGCCTCGCTTGAATTAGGTTTCGTGCTAGTTGGCACTCACCAGTCAACAAGGCGTACCTGCTTCTCCACCAAGCAAGCGACTAGACACATTACACTAGTTACTGATTAGTGTCCAACTGAAGTAGCCCTACAAGGGGGAAATCGCAAGCCCAAATAGCTCAGTGGTAACTTCTATGACTGCTGTACTAAGTGGCTCGGGTTCGAATCTCAAAACAAAAGGACATGAGTTCCTTCAAAGTTGCAGATACGCCTTACTGACTGGTGAGTGCCAATTAGCACGAAAGCTAGTTCAAGCAAGGCTTCCTGCCAATCGCCTCCAAGCATGCAATTATATGGATATTAGGATGTCATATTGAATTTTTACTTTCAAGCAGATGCATAATCACCGGATTTAATACACTTGTAAATAGTTTGTTATGCTAAAAAACCTATTACAAGGTCTACAAATCTAGGAGAATATTTTTCCCTAGAAAAAAGCTATTTGGTAAAAAGGTTAGATAATCCCTCTTCAGTATTATTTCCAATAAAAAAGTGACTTTATTTTCAGCTAAATATTAAAGTTTATAGTTTAAAGATAGAAAAAATTCAGTGAGAAGTCATCAGTATGATGCTTTATTCCTGGGTATTTTTCACACTTACTTTTGTACTCACACAGACTAAAGTAAACAAATTTACTATATAAACTATCTTTAGATTTGTTACATGGCCATAAATATGAATTCAGCTTAGCGTGTTACTACTTTTCTGATATTATTTTACTTACAGTAATCACTATACATAACTTAGATAGATAAGATAATATTTTAAATGAATGATGAGTAGTAAATATCAAAAAGACGGTTGTAGTGAAAAATTTCTTTTCGATAAAGTCATCAACTAGGCTGTACATTGATGTATTTATAGTAAATGGATGATAAAGTTGCAGAACTATATCCAGTCAAGGGGCAATCTGATAAATAGGGGTTAAAATGTAATAATAACACAAGTGAGCAGGAAGTCAGGATGAAAAAGATAATAGGAAAATTTCTCTTGAGGGAATTGATTGTTTATGATAGTCATGATAGTAACAAAGGTTGGACGTATTTCTTCCGGATACATAATGTAGGCTTGGACTTTTGGGTCCCTAGTGCCTCAGCCATGCCAAGATGCATTGATCCTACTACCTTTGACAGTTTTATTTGGATCCTGAATATGTGACTCTGAAGGACTTTTCAAAAGGATCTGAATATCCTGAGTTCACCAGATGTTCTTTTACCGAACTGTATACACAATTGCGTCCTCCTTTGATAGCCAGGATGGATAGTGTTTTGCGGGAGTGTTTTACAAGCAGATGCATGGTACAACCAATGTACTCAGACCTACAAGAGCAAGTGAAAAAATATATACCTGCTGAAGTGGCCTTATGCGATAGCTTGTCTTTCATATGCTGGTTGAATACTTTTTTGTAAAAAATGTCCCAAGTAGGCTGACCACAAAGTAGTTTTTTACTCAGAGATGTTTAAAGTCATTTACACAGAATCGAGAGGCAAAGATAAACTTTAAGCGCCAGTAAACACCAACGGACGAGTGACCCTGAATGCATCAACTACATGATAAAGGTGATTTTCACGTACAAAGTACATATAATCATGAAATAATAAATTAAAAGACATGAAACTATCACATAGGATACCGTTCTATGAAGTGTGACGAAAATTTCTCTCGGTTTTGGATTGGAGCATCAGCAGAGAATTTTAACCACATTCTGTGCGTGTAATTATCTAGTCTTCTAAACCTAAAATGAGTCCTAATCTTCACTTTACCTAGCTTGAGTCAACCGTAATATCGCCTTCATTAGGTTAACCTAACCCTAACCTGTTCTTAGCATGAACCTTAACTTAATCTTTCTTAAACCTAACCTGAAACTTTCTATATATCCCATTTAATAACATAACACTTCAGTGAGCACATTTTATTCAGGATTACAATAATGTTTATCAGGTTTCAATAACTTGCTCAGTGAGCATTTCAAATTCATTGGTGTGGTCACTCTCCACTGGTACTTACTGGTACTTAAAGTTTAACTTCGCCCCGAATACTTCTGCAAGTAATGCACAACCTTCGGTTTCATAATTAATTTGCTTAATTACACTTACTGCTCTAAATGACAGTGTTTTCACCAACTTTCAGAAGCATTTCATTGAAGATCTCATAAATTTTATATCAGTAAAAATGTAAGAATGATGCTTTTCCAGCTAACATTTCGTTTACCGTGTTTATAGAAATTAAACTGTAGTTAAGTGCATTAAGACTGTAATTTAATTAAACATTTAATTGTCTACAAGAATAAAATAAATAAAGAATAAAATAGATAGGAATAAATAATATACGAAATGAAATTGAAAAACTCAAACCCAAACTCAAATGTATGGTCAATGACAAAGATGATGTAATTGTTGTTGAAACATCCCAAAAAGCTAGAGAATCAGCATTAAGAAAATCAAAAAACCACACAAATCAAAAAATTCAATAAACGAATGAAAGAAAAGAACACAATAAATGAAATTGACGTCAACGTTTCATCCTCTGTTGACAGAACAAAATAAGTGATCAACCTCTCATCAAGGTAACTAAGCTCTAATGAGATAAGAGTACTTGAGAAAAGACTAAATTTCAACGTAACAGTTAGTAAATTAAAACCAGAGGATGTCATTCCTAACATAGAAGTAGCATTCTGTTCAATAGATAAGATGACAACAGAAGAGATTCGAGCACAATGTGCATTAACCCTGAAAAATCAAAAGAAAGCAAAATCAAACTTAACAAAATCAGAAAGATTAGCTCTAATTAGTGTAAAACAGGATAAAAACATCGTCATCGCAAAAGCTGATAAAATGAAACTCTACATTAGTTTTGGATAAATCTGACTATATCAAGAAAGTCACTGAATGTATTGAGACGGGTCCTTATGAGGAAATTAAGAAGCCTATAGATACAATAATGAATAAGGTTGAAAAATCTACAGCGGAATTAATACACAAAATGAAGCCATCACTGAATGGTTTAATTTAATGCCTAAAACTAATAATGCTAGTAGAATGCATGGTACCTCAGTCGTATAATCGCGCGTTCCGTTCTACATAGACGTAAGCTTAACATTTACAATTCACAATTAGTTTTCGTTAAGATTTATCGATATAAAATCATGTAAAATTAATAAAATGAAATTGAAAAAAGAAGGAATTATTTTAAACTCTGTTATTTTTAGATATTTTTAGTTGTTGTTTTTTGTTGTTGTCATAAATTTGAATAACTGAAACCGAAGTCCATAAATACATTAACTATAATTTGTCTTTCATGTACATAAAATGGTCTAACTTTTAGAAAAAAAAACAACAACATCTAGACACCTTAGAAATGAAGTATCAGTAAGTGAGTGAGTATTTGTGTGTGTGTGTGTGTGTGATATAATTTTTGTGAAATACTGTGTATTGTGTGAACTTACCAACTGAAATAGTTTTTTACTCAAAGGATTTTCTAAATTAAACTAAAGATGAAATGAATATAACTACATCATTTTGAGTTGTTAGTTAGATATATAGGTGAAAAAAAGAAGTATTGAATAAAGATTTGGTTAATTCATGTCTCATCTTGAAGTGAATAATTCCCAGTTTATGTTATGTAAGTTGAGAAATTGTGGAGATTATCATTAGTAGTCAACCTGAGAAATCACTGATTTTACTGACAACAGTGCGTCGGTGGCACCGTGGTTAGGACTCTCGCTGACCATGCACGTGGTCCGAGGTTCGAGCCCACGCCGACGCACACTTGATATCTATGGTCGGCCTGCGAATTTTGGGCTACCGATATCCACGCTGAAAATCCCATACTTGTATCAAAAATACGGTGTGGAATCAAGCTGTAATCAAAAAAATAAATAAATAAAAAAGAAATTTATATACAATTTATGCGGTGCCATTGTTAGTGTTTATCTAAAACTGATGATTACCAAATCATCATTGTCTCTTGGATCTAACAGCATCAGAGATTAATAAGTTCATGCTGATTTAGACTTTAGTATATGACAGTTAATCACTGCAATCCATGTAAGCATAGGATTTGGGCACTATTATTGTTATTATTATTCCATTGGGTTCCGAGTGGAATATAGGGATTCAACAATACATCTCCACTTTGTTCTGTTTTCTGCCGTCCTCTTCCGCTGGGTCCATTTCCTATTCCGACTCACACGATCTCCTCCATGTCACCCTTGCACCAACTACCCTGTCTGGATTCCACTTGAGCAATGACCTGCATTCAGTGCGATGTCATTCGACGGTTTCCTCAATGTATGCCCGATCTATTCATCTCCATTTTCTCCTACACACTTGTTGAGCAATCAGCTCTTCATTGGTTTGTTGCCAGCAGGAGTTTCTTGTTGCTAATTCTTTCTAGTAGACCGGTCATTTGATCTTCAGTATGGAGCCAGCGTAGGCAGCTGTTGATAAAAGTCTGTAACTTGCTGGAAATCCTTTTCGGGACACACAGTACAAGTTTCTGACCCATAAAGAAGAGCTGACTGACTGACTTCACAGACATTTGTGTTGAAAATCCGAATCTTGATCTTTAAGCTGGCTGACTGCAGAAAATTTCCAAACTGGTTTCAGGTTGATGAAGGTGTATCTTGCCTTTCCGATTCTGGTTAGCTCTGACATCTTCATCCGTTTCTCCTGCCAGGGGTTGAAATGTTGTTTCC